TGTCAATGACATTAAAGTCAGGAGCAGGAGAGCTTCCTTCATAGTCCCCCCTGTACATCTCATGTCAGGTCTTCATGATTAATAATGTCAGTGTCAGCAGCAGCAGCTTCTGCAATCCTTATTGGGGCCCCCTTCTACCCCCAGGCCCCATAGCAAAATTTTGATGGGGTCCCCCAGCAACCTCCCTACTGTCAATACCCAGACAATCCGCATAGGCCGCTATGGCTGTTGTTACGCAACTGATTGATCCATAATCTTCCAATGCAAGTTCAAACAGCTAAGCAAACGTATGATTATCTTGATCTTTTATCATACTAAACTGGTCCCTCCAGATCCCATCTGGAAACTCCTCCAGGTCTGCAGGTCTTCCTTTTACAGCTGAACAGCATCCCTGCCAGGCAGCCCAGGTTTTTGGCCTCCACGGGAGCAGCAGGCTAAGCCTGGTCAAGAACACACCCTCACCCTGCCGATAGTGGCACACAGGAATAGCGCAAATGCATCTTACCAGTCCTTGTGATTCAGCCACTTAAGAGCTTCAATCGTGCCTTGTTCCGGGTGGGACATTGGACCAGAACTGGGACCGCCACTCTCGGAGTCAGAATCCCACTCTGTCAGGTCCAGAAAAGAGGCCGGCAAGGAGTACGCTGGAACAGAAAGCAACAAAAACTACCATTAGAAGGTGACAACGTCACGGACTTGTTCAGTGCGATAGAAGGCCTGGAATGCTGATGGGCCACAAGGGTACCTTGTCTGAAGGACCAGTACACTACAGCTGAACTCCGGGATGGAGAAAAAGTAACCCTTGCAGTGGGGCCCCCTCTGCACCGCAAGGGGTAAATGCTCATTTTGTCTAGGGGGGGATAGGAATAAGCACAAGATAACATAGACACCGGCACTCCAAGTAATGAATCAATGACATCACTGATGAAGGGGATCCTGTGAGACCCCCGGAACGTTGCTTTTTGATGCATTGTGCTGTTGCATTCGTCAATAAACAGACGCCGTTGATTTATTACTAGGAGTGCCGGTGTCTGTGTTATCCTGTAAATATAGACGGTTGTCATCCGTCGACTGCCGCAGCACCCGTCTTTTATAAGGAACAACGGTTTTGAGTGCGATGGGTTGATGGACTGTATCAGGAATAAGCACAAAGCTCACCTTATTTCTGCTCCCTGGGCAATCAACGCTCTCCTTTGTTCTCCAGCATTCCCAGGATGTGGGCGGGCCCTTGGTGTCCTCATGTACACTGTTGGACTGCTAGTTAGAGAGTTGTGCCAATCAGGCAGCAAAGGGAAATGGCTTTGGGGGGGTCTGGTCTGATGGGGAGCATCGTTGGTTGCTAGGATGCTGATGGCTGCACAACATCATTGGTTGCTAGGATGCTGAGGGCTGCACACTGCCCTTGGTTGCTAGGACACCATGGCAACTGCAGATGGTGCCCTAACCATCAGATAGGAGGGTTTAGTTCCCCTTTGATGGCCAGGTACTCTTTCACTCAAGTTGGCTCTGTGGCATCCTTATGTAAGTACATGAGCTATACTGTGGCATTTACCTGATGAATGGCGGAAGTCACTCAAGGGGGGTTCTGGGTTTACGGTTGGGATGCTGGGCAGGGACGGCCGGCTGACCCACTTGTTCAGGTTTATATTGGTCCCTCCTCTTCTCTTGTCCACGCTGATGGGAACTGTGTTCAGTCCATTTAGGCTGAAGGAGGTAACTGACATTGGTTCTGTTAAACAGAAAACAGATAATACAGTTCAGAGCTCATTCAAAGCCTTTAATACTGTACTCCAGGCTGGAAGGAAATACCCCCCGCACGCACTGCAAGAATTAAATGCTCCGGGGGGAGGGGTGGCTTAGGATAAAGAGGATATATTACTTACCGTACCGTACCTGCTCCGCCAGGCTCAAGTGCTCTGCTCTTCTCCCTGATGGTTGTGGAACGTCCTTCAGCGTCAACACGTGTGTGTGTGTGTGTGTGTGTGTGTGTATGGGGGGTAATGGTGTGATTTGGTGCTTCAAGGGAAAACATGTAGTATGCGGTTCCTGTAGCATGTTCACAGTCTCCAGCAGTGCCTTGTAGAATATCCTTAGTCCTTGGGAATCTCATGTACCCTGTCCACAGCCTCTAGCAGTCTCCTATGGCATGCCCGGTGTCTCCCATAACACGTCCTCAGTGTGTGGCAGTTTCCTTTAGCATGTCTACAACCTCCAGCCATCTCTTTTGGCATCTCTGCAGGCTCTACTAGTCTGCCATGGCATGTTCCCTGCATCTAGCAGTACCCTGTAGCATGACCTCCCATTTAGCTTGTCCCTAGTCTGTGGCAGTTTCCTGTAGCATGCCCCTGAGCCTGTAGCAGTCTCCTGCGGTATCTCTCCAGCCTCTAACAGTCTACTATTACATGCCCCAGCCTCTCCTGTAGAATGTCGCCAGCTTCTAACAGCCTCCTGCGACATGTCCCCAGCCTCTGGCAGTCTCCTGTGGCATTTCCGCAGCCTCTAACAGTCTACTGTTACATTCCCCAGCCTCTAGCGGTCTCCTGTAGATTGTCCCCAGACTCTAACAGTCTCCTGTGGCACGTGCCCATGCAGGCAAAATGAGAGCTGGAGGTAGGGAATATTTCTACTTAAAGACAAATAACACAAAGTCTGTGATAAAAAGACAAGTGTTCTTCAATAACTATTTTACCATGATTTTTATGACTAAGCCCAACCTTCACCCTAATTGGCCCTGCCCACTCCCAACAAGACACACCCGCCTCTTTGCAGAGACACCCTTCACAAACTGTTTGCATGTCCCTCTGTCACATCGTGGGAAGTTGGAGCATTTGGCGGTAGTAGTAGTAGGAATGGGGGTAGTAGTATAATGCACTGTTTATTTTTATGGTGTATTGATCATTTTGTTTCCTGTGTAGTTTTCCAGAACATAACAAACATGTTCTGTGGAGGACTTTGTGTACACAACGGACATTTGGTTTTAGAAAGTAAAGTCCTCTTAGCTTTGCACTGACCTCCCCCCGTGTCCACTCCTTGAAGCCCCTCCCACAACTGCTGCTGGCTCCGCCTCTTCTCGTTTCGGATATTCTCTATTTCTTGCTGCTTCTGTCGCATCTTGTCTTGTGCAGACTTTGATATTGAGACACTGACCTGAAATGAATCATGGAAACGGTTACTTGTAATGCTACATTGGCATCAACGTTAAAATAGTTCTTCTTTGGTCAGCCGCTAACTCAACTGCAAAAGTGTCATTTAAAGGGGTTGTCCAGTTTATGAAATAACCCCATGCTGCTTGTGAACCCCAGGTGCAGTTGTGCAAAGGATTGCCGTGCCTGCAGCTCGACTGTTACACTGTGATCAGGAGCTGCAATGTCACATTTCACCTGCAGTGCACCCTTCAGGTGGAGTTTGGTACTGCAGCTTCTTCACATAAGAAAATCCTCATCTATGATAATGTATACATAACTTGCTGCCTCAGCTAGGGGACCATTCATGTACTTCAGGGTGGTTGGTTTGCTCTCAAGTAATTATCTCCCTGCAAGGCTGTCTGTCCCTTACCACTGCTGCAGCCTGACCATTGATTCAATGTACTGTGTTCTACTGGGGACTTATGCTTCTTGGATTCAGTGTGCTGTGTTCTACTGGAGACTCACATGATTCTGTGATTCAGTGTACTGTGTTCTACTGGAGACTCATATGATTCTGTGATTCAGTGTACTGTGTTCTACTGGAGACTCATATGATTCTGTGATTCAGTGTACTGTGTTCTACTGGAGACTCATATGATTCTGTGATTCAGTGTACTGTGTTCTACTGGAGACTCATATGATTCTGTGATTCAGTGTACTGTGTTCTACTGGAGACTCATATGATTCTTTGATTCAGTGTGCTGTGTTCTACTGGAGACTCATATGATTCTTTGATTCAGTGTACTGTGTTCTACCGGAGACTCATATGATTCTTTGATTCAGTGTATTGGTGTACTATTGACTCAGAAGTGTTGTAAGTTGTGATTCTCAGTGTACTGTTAGCTATCTGATTGGTTGCAGGGAGGGGCTGGCAGAAGCCGACCTCTCTCACTCTAGGACCCTCAGCTCTGCCTACACACTCCTCCCACTTCCTCTATTTCATAATGCCTCATGGGAGATGTAGTCTGTTCTCTCTGCCAGGGTATGACACGGACTGGTTACCTAGATCCTCCCACTGGCGGTAGGAAAGACTGATCTAATAATAGGAGGATGTGACATCACTAAATATGAGAATTACAGGAAAACTAAGCACTTTTATGATAAATTGGTACAGCAGTTTGCTTCCTCTGACTGAGAGGGACCTAAATATATAAAGTTATGTGCATCCCGGAGTTCTCCTTTAACCAGTTGCCGTCCGCCCGTTGCAAAAAAAGGTATGTGTGACCCCCCCAGACATTAGGGGTCCTAGAGACCCCTAATGTCTCCATAAAGAGGACCTGTCAGTGTGTCTTTGCTATTATATAGGGGGACTGTTATCCCCCTATGTAATAGCAATAACAATAAGTGTAAAAAAAATATATAAATAAAATAAGTTTAAAAAAAATAAGCCACATATAAAAAAAAGTTTAAAAAAAAAAACCCAAAAAATTCTTAAGTTCCCCACCCCCACGTTTACGCACATATAAACGTAAATACGCGTGCGGTGCACCAGCGCGTGGAAACGACAATTGCGCTACACGCGTTACATATCGCCGTGAACGTCGCAGTGAGGACAATCATTTTAGGGCCATCAATCACTGACAAAACATTTTCGGTAATTTTTCCTTAATATAGTAAAAAATAAAAACCGCAGTGATTAAATACCACCAAAAGAAAGCGCTATCTGTTCCTAAAAAATTCATTTCAGTACAGCGTTGCATGACGGAATAAATGTCAGTCAAAGTACCGCAGCGCTGAATACTGAAAAATGGCCTGGATGGGAAGGGGATGTAACACTGCGAACTTCAACTGGTTAAGCTGAGGAGTACTTTTGATTGTTCAGTCCATCCAAAACCGATATTCCAGTGATGTGGGAATGATGTTCAAACCATTCCCTGGCTTCTTTACCTCTCTGAGCCTACAAATGTAAGATCACTCTTCTGGAGTATCCAGGTCTGGACCCCCATTATGGAGTCCTATGCCTCCTGCTGCAATGGACATCTCATTGCCTATTCTGCATTCTCTGTGATGGAACAAAAGTGACACATCCAGCCACAAGAGTAGGCACAGAAATCTCCTTCCCCTGCTGCTCCACCTGCCCAATAGGCATCCAAAGTCAACTCCTATAAGCCAGTATAAAATAACAATTTTGAGACACACTCAACAATTCTGTAATGCTTCCATATGTTTATTGAGAGCAAAAGGACGGAAACATTCCACAGAGTTTCTTCCTTTAATACGTTTTGCCCCCTAGTAATATTACATTCCCCCGGAGGGGTGAAATACATCAGTGGAAAATAGCCTGTGGAGTGTCTGTGTCCTGTTGCTCTCAATAAAGATGTGGAAGCATTATGGACTGGAGGAACATGGCTCGCTATTGCTCTTTTCTAAACGAAAGAGCATGCAGCTTTGTAACAGCAGTGGCTGGTGGGCAGGATCGGGAAATCGGATGCAGAACTTTCATCCGGAGAGTCCCTAAGTTCTGTCTGTCCTCCCAAAAGTGAAATATCAGTTTTGACGTGACTAACCCATTATGAATAATATCACAGAGAAGACCCACCCGTGCATAGTTTTCCTTCCCCTCTTCGTCCTGGAGAAGCTGCGGCAGCTGTGTGGCATCGGTGGATGGAGTTGGTAAGATAGGTTTGGATGGGATTGGATCCCAAAAATTTGCAGTTATATGATGGTTTTCACCATGATCCGCATCTGTGCAAGAAGCAGAGAAAAACAACCTTTGTTATAAGACAGAAGTGCAGCTTTGTGTTAAAAACAAAGTCATGTTGACCCCATAGTTAGCTGAAAAAAGGTCACTAACCCTAGTCTTCTCGTCTCTTCAGCACATGCCCTTAGTGGAGTATCCAGAAGCATGTACAAGCTAGCATGTCCTGAAGGGCAGTGACGTGACGTGTCTTCTGCGCTGGGTGAGGCATTCCCCATCCCGCCATAACTCCGCCCCCGCCCTGCCGAAGCTCAGCCATCCACAGAGCTAACACCTCTAACACAGACTAGAGGCTGTGACAGCTCTTGCCTCACCAAGTTAGGTTACACAAGCAGTGGGGAAGCCCGCTTCTGTGTAACCTAACTACCTATCAAAAGCTGGATGCAGCGCCGCCTGTAATTAACAGGCAGTGCTCCATCAATGACAGGCTACACAGCGGGGAGGCTTTCCCTGCTGTGTAACCTGTAACACGCCGATCTGAATGGAGAAATAGCTGTCAGATTCGGACTTGAGGCTGACACCTTTTGTCTTGATAGTACTAGGTGAGGCTCTGCCTCCCCTGGCCACACGTCCCTGCTGAGGGGAGTAGCAGAGTCAGGTTAACTGGTTGCTCTCAGTTACCAACTTACTACAATGTGTCTGTGAAGGTTCCCCAGGTCATGGTATATCTAGTAGTAGTTAGTCACATTCAACTTGGCTGTTTGGAATGAATGTAGGAAACATACCCCAGCATTTATACTCACGAGGTACCTCAGTCACCTTTATCCTCTGTTGGAAGGTCCCGGGTTTTTGCTTGACCTTTTAGCTGCTTGGACAAACTGCCAGACTGGGTGGCCACAAATTTTCAAAGCACTTCTGAGATGACCCAAATCAGGACACACAAGGGAGCATTTTTCAAAACTGGAGCAGACAAAATCTGGAGCAGCCATGCAGGGCAACCAATCAGCTTCTCTCTTCAATTTGTTCAGTAAAGATTTGAAAATGAATGAGAGAAGCTGATTGGTTGCTATGCACAGCTGTCCTATATTTTGTCTGCTCCAGATTTGATAAATTCCCTTCACATTGTTCAAATCCCCCATCATATTCTGGACAATCCGAATCTGTAGGGTGTAGGTTAAGGTGACATTGAACCGTGTGGTTATAAATGCTGGGGTATGTTCCTGAATTGAGGAAGTCAATTGGATGAATGTTCCTGAATTGAGGAAGCCAATTGGATGAATGTTCCTCAATGGAGGAAGCCAATTGGATGAATGTTCCTCAATTGAAGAAGCCAATTGGATGAATGTTCCTCAATTGAAGAATCCAATTGGATGATTGTTCCCCAATTGAGGAAGCCAATTGGTGGATGAATGTTCCTCAATTGAGGAAGCCAATTGGATGAATGTTCCTCAATTCAGGAAGCCAATTGGATGAATGTTCCTCAATTAAGGAAGCCAATTGGATGAATGTTCCTCAATTGAAGAAGCAGTTGGATGAATGTTCCTCAATTGAGGAAGCCAATTGGATGAATGTTCCTCAATTGAAGAAGCCAATGGATGAATGTTAACATATCTTCAACAACTTGAAACAATTTGTCCCCATTTGTCATTCTCTGTTTTATAACCCCACACTGGTGACATTTATTTATTTATTTAAAATATTTTGGAATGATTGCTCCTGTGATGTATCTGTTCAGGAACAGCAAGCCCCAGCCAGGATGCCATGCCAGCCTCTACCCTGCAGAGCATTAAAGGAAGTGCATTTGACTTGGCCAGTTGTGTGGCATGGCATGGCAGGCCTGCACTTGTAGTCCTGCCACAGCAGATTACTCATGCCTGACATAAAACATTTTTGAAACAATATTTTGGTAACCCGACTCCTTCCTTATTGGTATTCAGTGACTCCACCACCCCGTCACAACCATTGTGCTCCGTGTCACCGGCTTGGAAAGGTCTCCCCTGTCATTATCCTATCATTGTGGTAACAGTTTACACTGTGTAGCAATAAACATGGCTACTGTGTTTCCAGTATTGTGTTGGCGAAGTCATTCTTCTCCTGGGCAGGTCTGACAAGCACACAGCTAATTACCTTGTACAATGAACATGCAATTACCCAGCTATTCATCCCGGAGCTCTCCGGGGTCCTGCCAGGCAGATCTCAGCCATAGACATGGAGTTAATAAAGAGCTGGCTGACTAGATTCATACAATAGGATATCAAGTAGCCACGGAATTCTAGTGATCGTCATTAATAACAAGGAACGTTGTGTGTGTTTTGTCACGGATGTATTGTACTTGATCGTTATTTTGGTGTAAATGTAAATTAAAGTGCATTGGTGCTTTTCCCTCTCACATTGCTGAACTCCCTCAAATGCTGGTTGTCTGGCTATTATATTTGGATAGAGTGGGGAAGAGTTAAACTTTCTGTCAGAGTTATTAAGATGCAGTAAGGGCACCACACCAATGGTCAAAGAGTCCACATTTTTTCCTTATTTGATAATAAGTACAATTAGACAGCCATGCATTTCAGGAGTTCATAGACTCCCTTCATCAGAGCTTTTGTATTAGGTAAACTCAAAAATGACTGAACTTAAATGGCTTTTGGTCATTGTTGAATGTACTGTATAAAATCAGATCCTATGATCTGCAGTTTGTACTACTGGAGGACTCCTTCCTCTTTCTAACACTCCTCTACTGAAATACTCTGCACTGCTGGAGGGCTTTGCTCTTTCCTCTTATCGGAATCTGCTCGCCCAAAATACTCTGTACTGCTTGGGGATTGTGGCTTTTCCTCTGTCTAACTCTCCTCTTCTGGAATACTCTGCACAGCTATAGGACTCTGCTCCTTCATCTATCTAACTATCCTCTCCTGAAATACTCTGCACTGCTGGAGGACTCTGCTCAATCTTCTAACTCTCCTCTCCTGCAGGGATGTGCGGCCAGGGGAGGCAGGTGAGGCAGAGCCTCACCTAGAATTATGGAGGAAAAAGCTGTCAGCTTCATGTCTGAAGCTGACAGCTTTTTCTCCATTCAGATCGGCATCTAACAGGTTACACAGCAGGGAAATCCTCCCCGCTGTGTAACCTGTCATGGAGCCTCAGCGGTGAGGAGCAAGTGAGGGACAGGGAGGCTCCTCCTTGTCTCCTCCCTTCCTCCTTTACACTAGCTTGGGGACAGGTTGGGGACAGGGCTTCATCTGGCGGGAGGCGGAGCTACGGGGGCGGGGCTTCGGTCGGGCGCGGGGTCGGGAATGCCTCACCCTGAGCAAGAGGTACTGCACGTCACTGCTCTCCTGATATGATTCACACTGCTGGAGGACTCTGCTCCTTTATCTAACTATCCTCTCTTAAAATACTCTGCACCGTTGGAGGACTCTGCTCCTTCCTCTATCTAACTCTCCTCTCCTGGAATACTCTGCACTACTGGAGGACTCTGCTCCTTCTTCTATCTAACTCTCCTCTCCTGGAATACTCTGCACTACTGGAGGACTCTGCTCCTTCCTCTATCTAACTCTCCACTCCTGGAATACTCTGCACTGCTGGAGGACTCTGCTCCTTCCTCTATCTAACTCTCCTCTCCTGGAATACTCTGCACTACTGGAGGACTCTGCTCCTTCTTCTATCTAACTCTCCTCTCCTGGAATACTCTGCACTGCTGGAGGACTCTGCTCCTTCTTCTATCTAACTCTCCTCTCCTGGAATACTCTGCACTGCTGGAGGACTCTGCTCCTTCTTCTATCTAACTCTCCTCTCCTGGAATACTCTGCACTGCTGGAGGACTCTGCTCCTTCATCTATCTAACTCTCCTCTCCTGGAATACTCTGCACTGCTGGAGGACTCTGCTCCTTCTTCTATCTAACTCTCCTCTCCTGGAATACTCTGCACTGCTGGAGGACTCTGCTCCTTCCTCTATCTAACTCTCCTCTCCTGGAATACTCTGCACTGCTGGAGGACTCTGCTCCTTCTTCTATCTAACTCTCCTCTCCTGGAATACTCTGCACTGCTGGAGGACTCTGCTCCTTCTTCTATCTAACTCTCCTCTCCTGGAATACTCTGCACTGCTGGAGGACTCTGCTCCTTCCTCTATCTAACTCTCCTCTCCTGGAATACTCTGCACTGCTGGAGGACTCTGCTCCTTTATCTATCTAACTCTGTTCTGATAAACTTTGCACTTCTTTTACATCAGCACTACATATATTATGTGGTATGTACTTTTTTTCACACTTACCAGATATCCTGTAGGTTTCAAACTCCGAGGCAAAACTGTAAAAGAGAGAAATAAAAGCCTTTAACGAACAATCAAATAAGAAACTCTTGGCTTGGAATGTTTTAGTATTCTGCTGGTTTTAAATAATTGTAAGTGGCCCCTTGACAACCGTCTTCATAGTGCAATTGTCAGGACCTTTCTTCTTTTAAGTCATCCTGTCATGTGTTTGGCTGCGTCAGTTCTGCAGAGTTGATTCGCTTGCTTGTCAACAGCCAATTGTAAAACCCTTCTAAGACAGGGGTCCTAATAAAGGCTCCAAGATATTAACCAAGACATGTCATCTTTCAAATGATAACTGGAGGCAAAAGGAAGTTGCAGCTTTTTTGGTTGAAATCTTGGAGCAGCCTGCTCATGAATCACTTTGCCCTTCCTGACAAAATCCAGGCTTGCTAGATTGCTGGGCCTAACACTTTTACAGTAAGCAAAATGAAAACTCCTATTCTGTCAAAAGTGAGTCACCTTCTCTGCGTGGCCTCGTTCCTGGGCACCGGTGAATTTCTAGTCATCTGTGCGCTATCATTGTGATTCTGATCTGCTGGAAAGTTGGATGATTTCGGGATGGGCGGTATAACTACCCCACCAAGAGATTTCCGTTTCCTCTCTGCGCTGGAGCGCACATACTGCAGGGAATTCTGAAGTGAAAAAAGTAGAAAAGAAGATGACCTGGGTGTATATTGAATAATTTACCAGAATTTTATTTTTCGGAATGTTAACCAAAAATTCCTATACAACATCAGTGGCGTCACAAGGGGTGTGCGGCCCGCACCCGGGTGCCACCATTGGAGGGGTGACACCAAAATGACTGAGCCATTTTGGTGTCAACCCCTCTGAAAAGTCGGGCATTCAATCAATGACCGAGAGCCCGACAGTGTCAGGAGAGAGGAGGGGACCTGGCGGCATACCTCTTCCGGCCGGTTGAATGTCCCCTCTTCTCTCTGCCGGCGTCCCTCACCAAGATGGCCGCTGGCAGGAGTCAATGACCATGCAGACGCGATGACATCATTGCGCACGCTCGTGGCGATGTCACGCGCATGTGCGATGATGTCACAGCGGGGTGTCACCCGGTCTCCGTTCCAGGTGTCACCCGGCCTCAGAACACCCCTGTACAACATAACCCCATTACTCTTTTTACTGTAAAAACAGCTTAAAACAGACCCTTACCCATATCTTTAAAATAACAACAAACACACCTTTAGAAATGTTTAGTAATGACAATCTACCAAGACATACGGTACTTCTAGATAATTGCCGGCTTTGTATTCTTTGCATACCTTATTTCTCTTTTCCTCCCCATTCATCTCACAGTGGCCATTTTTACTAAGGGCAGATGTATTTATTATGACCCTTTACTTCCTTGAACTCTGGCACATGTGACTAGGACATGCCTTTCCCTGAGATTACTAATGAGATTTCCCAGCAATGCTCTGCTGATGACAAGTCAATCCCCGTGTGCATTGCTTTGGCAAACTGAAGTAATTTTGCCTTTTCAAAGCAGGAAGTGTAAGTGTTTCACAATAACAGCATTTTACACCTGACATGTCTCTGTTATTATTAATCAATCATCATACATTGGTAGAATTTGATTTAAAAAAACAGGTTGATATGATAATTTTAGGTTCATGGCAGACTGCTAACTTTCTTATAATGAACTCTTGCCGCATGTAGGGAGTCAAATTTGAAGCCACCATTTAGTTTGCCATCTTACCTCTGCAACAGCTGATGTTTTCTCTATCTGTTTTTCCATGTGGTCCCCATTCTCACGTCCATTCCTTGACATGTCTTTCTCTTCTTGGGCCCCAGGGTGGGGTGTTGGACTCTTCTGGATGGGAGGTACAGGCTTTGTGGCGGTCATTAACCTCTGTGATGCGCTTCTTGGAACGGCGGGTTTGAGAGGCATGTTCTGAGAGTTCATGATCTCAGTTGGTGCTGTCATGGGGGCAATCAGAAACAAGTCACACATCTTTGTAACGTTGTATAAAGTGAACATCTTTTCCAAAAAGAAGAGTATGAAGCCGCACATAATTACTACTTTAAGGAAACCTGAGAGTATAGGAAGACGGCCATTGCAGACCTCTCTTTAGGAAATGCTGGCTATCATTCTGATCCACTATACTTCAATAAGCCTTTGACCCTGAAGAAGTATGCTGACCAGGAGTTCAAACTTTGCTTTGACTTTCTAATATGTGGGCTTGTTCCTGGACAGTTCCTCAGAACGTATGGATGCATCAGACAGTCAGGTTACTAGCATCTTCACCGTCTGTATTTCTCTCAGTACAAGTACAAGCTCAAATTTTCATTATTTTAGCATATTGGTTGGCCTCACCTCCTCTGGCACTGGAGCTTTCGGACATCTTCCGTTTCAGCTTGTCCTTCAGCCGGGCAGTCTCCAGGGCCGCACTGTCCACCTCCTCATCCCTTGTGTTCCTAAAGACGGGGTCATTTTTACCCTCCAAGTCCAGCGGTGGGGGCAGGATTTCCGCCTGAAGATCACGGTCATCTCCACCCCACAAGTAAGACCTCTTCATCTGGAGGCTCAAGGACGACTGAAGAGCAGCTGGAGAGACAACGAAGAAAGGGAATGTCACTGTGAACCTTTGTGTCCCATGATGTCATTATTATGTGCTTGTTGGATACTAAAGAATATATAACAATGTATTACTAAAATTTCAAATATATCTTTATGATCGTACAGACCTGTGTCAGCTCCACCCCAGTGATTCCCGAATAGCTGCAGGTTCGAGTCCACACCCCCATTGCGTAGAGACGCGTATCCTGGTTTCATCTTGGGAACGCTGCCACAGTACACAGCAACGGGGGCTCTATACTTGGCTAATGTGGAAAATAAACAGAACTTCAGCTTAGAAATTTATTTGATTTACACATTCATTCAGTTAAGTGTTAGTTTGCTCTGTTATGAGGCAGGGGAGCTCTTAGCAACCTGGGACCCAAGGAGATGCCGTTTAAGGCAACCACCTCAGGGATGTCCTTAGACCCCCCCCCCCCCCCTCATGAGGCAAGGGGGTGGTCATGTGCTGGCAGTGCACCATGAGCCAGCACATGACCGGTTGCCAGGAGCTGGGCTGGGTGCTAAGAGTTCCCTGGGACACTCTGGCAGAAAAAGGGGCAGCAGGCACACCTGTTAAATGCATTTTATTATCAGCCCTGCCTAGGTCACCTATTTGAATTACATGACACCTTCCCCTATGTTTGGAGATAAGGAGAGGTGTTTTGTAGTCCTAACACACTTTCTGTCCGAGGGTGGCAGTGCTGTTGCTCCAAAAACACAGGAAAGTGAACGTTGACAGGACAGGAAGGACAGGTACGCTGCAATATATTACATTTTGGTTCTTGGGTTTAGATACATTTAAACCAAAACCTAAATGTAACCAACATGGCTGATGATTAGTGCTCCTACCTATCTGTGAACTGGTAAAGGGGTCATATGAACACCCTCAGGACCCTGTACAGTGTAACTGATGCTTTCCCTCCTGTGGGTATAGTACAGGTTTGGTTTAAAACCCGACTCTAGCCCCCATTTTTTTTTTTTACTTATTTCCGAGTTGGGAACAGTAAATATCTCCGTCAAGTTTCTATTGCTGTTTGTGAACCAATTGGGCAGACTGGAGGCCACGTAATGAGGGGAATTGTTGTCACTGGAACTGGTATGGAGAGTAATAATATCTAGTCTTTCTCAGTTTTACTGAAAAAAAGTATTTTGTTGCAGTCTGTGCCCAGAAAATACTGGAAGTGAGGGGGGAATTCTCCCCAGTGGGGATGCAGACCTCAAGTAAAAGCCTGACAGGGGTGTTATCATTTCTCTACTTTAAAGCTGAACTCCGGGATGAGTAAATATTGTCCTCATACAAGTGTCATGTGTGTTTTTCTTGAATCTTGGTGAGTTCTGTGTAGTCTTTCCAGATCTGTGCAGTCATCCAGTGTGACACTTAGAGCTTCCTGTAATAAAGACCGGTCACTGCTGCTCTCTCTTCTTGTATAGTGTGACTGGCCTTGTCTCCGCCCCCTCCTGTAGTTTTCTGCATTGATCCTGTAATGGGTGGAGCTGCTGGGCCACTCCCACAGCTCTGCTCTTTGCACAGAATATTGTGCAGCACAGTGATGATGTTACTGCTACTTTATACAAGGCAATGGCCTTGTAAAAGATCATTACCTTCAAAGATGTTCGGTGCACACAAAGCGGATTTATATCCCTTGTGGCTTTTGAGGAATAACATTTAAATTAGGTGTTTGGTGACTGAAGTCCAGCTTTAAGCAACTGGCTGCAGCTAGGTAGTAAACAGCCATGATAATTGCTTTCCCTGATATACAGATAACCACTAGAGGGGCCATTTAAAAAATCTGGATACAAAATGCAATCAATATGAAACAACAAGCATGATATATATATCTATAGATATATATCTATATATATATCTATAGATATATATATAGATATATATGTGTGTGTGTGTGTGTGTGTGTGTGTGTGTGAAAGTCTCCCCAAGAATGACTTTCAGGTTAATGTTAGTAATATTGCAAAATTTGCACTGATTCAAAAGACACTCCCTTGTGTCCCCTTCTCCTAGTCCACCCCTAGTCTCCCTCGACAATACACATCTTTAAAAACATTAATGTAATATACAATATCTATTGTAATATTGTTTTTTATACTCACCAGTCGTCAATGACAGCGTAACACTTTATTTGCAGTCCGACAAGAAAAGTGGCAAAGCAGGAGGAAACAGAAAAGATAAGATATAGTACATAAATGTTAGGATGGAATCTAAATGGGCAAATGTCTCACCAAGGGGGGCAGAGGGTGAGTTATCCTTTGTGCCACATTAACCCAACACCATCTGTCCTCATCCAACGTTGTAGTGAAGACCTTGACCTTCTACTTGTATTATCTTACATTAGAATGTAGGTTCTTTGGGCCCACCCTAAAGTCTAGTGAGAGAATGTATGGTCACCATGCTCATTCCTCACCTGCTTTGGCAAGCTCCCAAATATAGATCATTTGGAGGGACTGTCCACTTTTACAACCAACTGCAGAAAGGCCAGCACTCCACACACCAAGTCATTTACGGTATATCCAATGTTACGAGGGCATGCAGGTTCTCTTTATCAAGATGAGGGCACCTTAATGAAGAGGACATGAGTATATGAGGACACCTTGATAAAGAGGATGAGTATATGAGGGTACCTTGACAAAGAGGATATGAGTATATGAGGGCACCTTAATGAAGAGGACATGAAAATATGAGGGCATCTTGACAAAGAGGATGAGTATATGAGGGTACCTTGACAAGGAGGATGAGTATATGAAGACACCTTGGCAAAGAGGATGAGTATATGAAGGCACCTTGACAAGGAGGATAAGTATATAAGGGGAACCTTGACAAAGAGGATGAGTATATGAGGGCACCTTGACAAAGAGGATGAGGGCACCTTGACAAAGAGGATGAGGGCACCTTGACAAAGAGAATATGAGTATATGAGGGCATCTTGACAAAGAGAATGAGTAAATGAGGGCACCTTGACAAAGAGAATGAGTATATGAGGGCACCTTAATGAAGAGAATGAGTATATGAGGACACCTTGGCAAAGAGGATGAGTATATGAAGACACCTTGACAAAGATGATGAGTATATGAGGGGACCTTGACAAAGAGGATGAATATATGAGGGCACCTTGACAGAGAGGATGAGTATATGAAGACACCTTGACAAAGAGGATGAGTATATGAGGGCACCTTGACAAAGAGGATGAGTATATGAGGGCGCCTTGACAAAGAGGATGAGTATATGAGGGCACCATGACAAAGAGGATGAGTATATGAGGGCACCTTGACAAAGAGGATATGAGTATATGAGGGCACCTTGACAAAGATGATATGAGTATCCTCATAATATTGCACAATGTATATACCTTGAACTGATTTTTAAGAAAATGACTTGAAGCATACTACACGGAGTGCTGGCCTTTTCTGCAATTGTGTTTATGACGTCGAAGTATTTGCATTACATCACATTACAATGCAATGGAAACATTTCTGGGAATTTCCATGATTATAGATCTTTGAAGTTCTAAAAAACCACTTCAATTTTCTCTCTATATTGACGGCTTTTGGGACGTCTTGATTGTCGGCATATACTATACTCAGCCCAGGTGCAGCTTACCTTTCCATTTAATACATGTATATATAGTGAGAGAGAGCTCTTTAATCCAAGCACTTTGGGAAGCTGGTATAAAGGAAAAGTGATGGTGAAGAAACAAAATTGCGGGATTAAAAAAATCATTTGTTGCGTATGAATTGTTCATGGTCCATGTAAGTGGGGGATTGGTAGGGGTGTGTGCTTATCCTCCATATGTTATCCTAAAAGGGCTTCCTATTTCCTACCTCAGAAAGTTGGGCGGCATGTCTCGGGGTCTATGTGCAAGTTCAAACCTAGTACTCGGGATGGGAATTGGCTCACAGTGATCCCTAAGGATGGGGATTCGCTTGGCTTTGGGCAGCTGCCAAGGAGCCTTGCATCCTGGGGGGGTACCGTATTGGCCCTTTCTTTTCGGAGAAGGATAACCTAGGACTGCTTGCACAATAATCTCCAGCAAGCTGCAAGATATCCATCCATGGTCAGGAGTTGTTCCAGCAGAGGGAAAACTGTCACTTGTGTAGTTAGTTGACATTTTTTGATTGATGTTAAATTGATTTTAGTAAATCAAATTGAAAAGCAAGTGATCTGACAAGTCCCAAGCCAACCCAAGGTGACCCAGTTTTCCCAAGCCTGCTCAGAAACTGTGACTGACTCCACAACCCCCCCCTCCCCCCTCCTGTTCCAAGCCAACCAGTTGTGGCAGGGTCATTCCCCGTCTCGCAGCTACCCATCACAAAGGGCTGCAACTGATGTGGTCGGGGGTGTCAGTCATAGTTATGTGCGGGCTTGGGCGAACTGAGTTTGCACCAAGTCCCCACATATGATTACCCTGGATGGAGTGCAGGTCCAGGGTTCTGGGGATGGAAGCTGTTTCCATTTTTTTTTTACTTTTTCTTTTGAACTGGATGGCCTTGTATTTTTTTATTTCTATTAATTTTCTGCTAAAGCATTAGATTGGTCTGGATTTAGTCTGCAATCTGCTTATGAAATGTGTGCACACAGACAGAACACACACAGGCAAGACACACATAATCAGGGTACACACAGAGCAGACATAGATAGAGCAAAAAGTTAGGGCACACATAATCAGGGTACACACATTATGCACAACACACAAGCAGACTATACATAACCATACCGCACTCAGAGCACACACAGAGAACACACAGTTAGATCACAGGACAAACAACCCACAAAGCACACACAGACAGAGCACACACTCTAAAAGACAACATTCCAAAGTAGCTGTTCGAGGAACAGTCACACATTGCTAATATATGCAAAACATCTGTAACTGAAGCCCCAGCCATGTATACGTGTGTAGTCTTAGACAGCCACTATCTAGTTACCTGCAGTATAGTCATTGTGGGTCATGCTTAAGGTTCTAGCTGTTCAGTTTCCTGTCAGGGCAAAACATCGCCAACAGAGCGCTTCCTTTTTCTATGTTCTTCCATAAATTCCTGTGGAGGTAAAATTAGTGTGGGGTTATCAGGGCTTCATATACACAGCAGGTAAGATCATGCATTTAACGCAGCCCAGGGAGTGCATAGGCCAGGGCATTCATTCTAAACATTGTTGGATCAGTGGCCCAAACCAGTGTGACAACGCTGCTCTTCCATAGATACAGAACGCTGAGTGAACGTTGTCAACCTCGTACAGGACGAGTGTTACCGGTAGGCTCACCAGGGGAAAACATAAAGGAAAAGAAAATATTGCAAAGAAGACAAATGCATCTCCCACATCTAAGGACGGGTAATCTACAACATGTTTTGGGTTTAGATACACTTTATGCATTTCTTAAAGGAAATGTGTACTGAGAGAAATATGGAGGTTGTCACTACTGACTTAGGGCCGGTTCACACCATCTCCAGTGCGTTTCGGCACGGTCAGTGACCGGAACGCACTGGATCACATAGTTAAGCCTCCCTGCGTTCAAGTCAATGGCATCGCAGACAGCCCCCACCCACAGTGTGATCCCCTACAAAAGAATGCGTGGTACAGCAATGTCTGTATTCCAGTCTGAAAGGACCTCTCCCTTCCTGAAATGTGCTTATCGGCTGTGAGTTCTCTATCAGTCTGGATGCAGCTCCCTCCATCAGTACCAAGAGGCAGCTGATCCCATAAGAGTGAAAGTTACTTTCAGCTAACACCCAAACCAAGCAATCAACCAATCCTCCCTGTAGATGTATATGCTACAACCTTCCATAAAGTCCTCTGCAAGTCCCCATAACAAAGGCCCAACCTAATAGGATTGTGTAAGTACCTATTATGACAACCCGAGGGATAGTTCAACTTCTGTGACACTGATATAGGGGAATTTTCCGCCATTGTGTCCGCTGCTAAGAGCCTGTCGCTCCAAGGTGTGTATGGATGTTATGGGACACCCCTGCCTTATATTAGGTCAACATTCCACTCCTCTCATTCCAGACCATAGAGGGCAGTGTAATGTACACATATGTCATATTTATTGATAGGTTTATTTATTTTACCTTACAAAGCATTGACACATTAATGAATGAGGTTTCAGAAATGGGAAAAAAACGCCAATGGTATTTCTTTATGATGGAAGTGATGCCCCTAGTCTAGGCCACCCTCACATTAACCCTCCTCATAACCCTAACACTAATTCTTACTCTAACCATCACACTAACTCTCTCTATAAACCTAATTAACCCTCCCTGTAACCCTCTCACTGACCCTCCCTATCACCCCAACATGAAACTTTCTATAACCCTAACCCTCCCTGTAACCCTAACATCAATCTCCCTATAACCCTAACCCTACCTGTAACCCTTACATCAATCTTCCTATAACCCTAACCCTCGCTGTAACCCTAACATCAATCTTACTATAACCCTAACCCTCCTTGTAACCCTAACATATATCTTCCTATAACCCTCGCTGTAACCCTAAGATCAATCTTCCTATAACCCTAACCCTCCTTGTAGCCCTAACAACAATCTTCCTATAACCCTAACCCTCGCTGTAACCCTAACATCAATCTTCCTATAACCCTAACCCTTCCTGTAACCCTAACATCAATCTTCCTATAACCCTAACCCGCGCTGTAACCCTAACCCTCGCTGTAACCCTAACATCAATCTTACTATAACCCTAACCCTCGCTGTAACCCTAACATCAATCTTCCTATAACCCTAACCCTCCTTGTAGCCCTAACATCAATCTTCCTATAACCCTAACCCTTCCTGTAACCCTAACATCAATCTTACTATAACCCTAACCCTCGCTGTAACCCTAACATCAATCTTCCTATAACCCTAACCCTCCTTGTAGCCCCAACATCAATCTTCTTATAACCCTAACCCTCCCTGTAACCCTAACATCAATCCTCCTTTAACCCTAACCCTCCTTGTAACTCTAACATCAATCCTCCTTTAACCCTCCCCCTCCCTGGAATCCTAACATCAATCTTCCCATAAACCTAACCCTCTCTGTGAATCTAACACTAATCCTCCGTGTAACCCCAACACTAACCCTCCCTGTGACCTCAAAACTAACTCTCCCTTTAACCCTAACACCAATCCTCTATGTAACACTTACAGTAACCTACTTTGTAATCCAAACACTAAACCTCCGTGTAACACTTACACTAAACTTGTCTGTGACCCTAACACAAACCTCCCGGTAACCCTCAAAGTGACCCACCCTGTAATCCTAACACTAATCCTCCCTGTAACCCTCCCACTAACCTTCCCTAAATCTCCCCATAACCCTAAACCCTGTAACCTTAACACTAAACCTTCCCTTACCTTTAACACTTAACCCTTCCTGTAAACCTCACACTAACCTTCCTTATAGCCCCACCACTAAACCTTCTTGTAACCCTCACATTTATCCTCCCTGTAATCTTAACACCAAGCATCCCTGTAACCCTAATACTAACACGCCCTATAACCCAAACATTAATCCTAACTCTCCTGTAACCCTCACATTAACCCTTTCTATTTCCCTAACACTAGCTCTCCCTGTAGCCTAAACACTCCTCCTTTTTGTAACTTTAACACCAACCCTCCCTGTAATCCTCACACTTACCTACCATGTAACCCTAACACTTCCTGCTGCTCTTCAAAAAATTAAGTGGAAAAAGCTGGTGATCTAGCTTACAGCTCGCGCTAGGGTTGCCACCTGTCCAGGATTCACCCGGACCGTCCGGGTTTTGAATGCTGTGTTCGGGTTTTAAGGCAGCAGAAACCCGGACACAAGATGTCAGGCAGACAGGGGCAACCAAAATTAAGATAGGGGCTACTGGCCCCCCACTGAAAATAGTCTCAACTGCGATATTTACATATGAATGGGTGGCACTATTTACATATGAAGAAGCCGCGACTCATTCTGCCCAAAAAATGTCCGTGCGTCGCGAGAGTGTTTGGGTTTCACTTGAAGGAAAGGTGGTAACCCTAAGCCCGCCCCCTATATATACCCTGAGCATTCCCTTTAACCACGATATTTACTTTAGGTCCACCTATCTTGTTACCATGTATCTTGTTGGATATATAGTTTATGAAATGACAATCATGCACTCAATCGCCTCCAAAACACTCAGCAATGCGGGCGATGACATTGTAAGATCACATTAACGAATGTTTTCTTTTTCATCCCAACAAACAAAATACATGTTTTGTGTCTCCCGCTGGCACCTATAACAACATCCTGGTGCAGCCATTTTAAGATCTTCCATGGGCTCAGGGGATTTTGTGTCCCCAGAGGAATGGTCTGTTCTTAGCAATATATATTAACGATGTTGTTCTACAACAGATGCAAACAAGAGCTGTAACTATACACCAATTAACTGCCATTAATAAAGAAAATAGCCCCATGTTACCTGTATAGTCGGCTGATACATGTTGGCCTGAAGGGAATGGCAAATAGAAACACTTGGGTGAGAAAAAAACCTTTTTCACCTCTTGAACCAGAGACACGACAGAAAGTGATTTCAATGTAGCAGAATTTCAGGCAAACAGCTAAACATAATTCAACCTCTTGCCATTGGCAGGAGCAGGCCTTTTAGGTGGGCCGTGATGCTGGTAGGAGGGGCTTCTGGTCATTCAATCACTTTAATTGGCTGCACAGTGATGATGTAATTGGAAGCCCATCCTACCAGATTCTGATCCCTAGTATGTTAGCGGTTCTGGGGGTGCCGATTGTGCACGCCCCAGAAAGAAAAAGCAACACATATTTGCATCAGGTGGATGTAAAGGCCCACAGGTGTGCTTCTGTGTATATGTGTTATACTGTCATAAAGGGGTTAAGGGGTTAATATATATGTGTATGTGTGTGTGTGTGTGTATATATATATATATATATATA